CCGGCCGGCGCTCGGTGCTCGGTCGCCCGCCGCTTCCTGGGAGGAAACGGCGGCCTGGCGGGCTGCGGGGGCGCGGGCGCGGAGCCTGTGCCCTCCGAGGGAGTCGCGGGTTGTCGCGCCCTCTAGGCCGGGAATGTGGCCCGCGCCTTCCCAGCCGCACATCGGCCGGCCGAACGCCGGACGACGCTGGGGCTCTGCGAGACTTACGGCCCGTCGAGGACCGGCAGCGGCGCGCCCGCAGCCCACGCGGGTGCAGGCTGGGGGCCGCCCGGCCTCGATTCCGCCCCAGCGCGGGGGACGCGCCGCCGCTCGCCTGGGAGGGCCGCGCTCTGCTTGGGGTCTTCGCGACTTGGGCGGCGGCGGGCGGGACGCTTAGAGCCGCTCTTGGTTCGCCCCGCCGGCTGCTGGGGTGGGAGGCAGCACAGGCCGGCCGGCCCCCGGTGCCCGGGATGGCCGGGTGGAAGCCACATCAGCCACTAAGGCGAGCGGTGGGGCGCTCAGTCTGGAACTCTGCCTTACCTCTGAAAAGCTGGGGGAATGAACTCATTTTTTAACCTTTCTGCGCCTTGGGCTGTTACAGAATTAGCCAAATACTTCCCGTGGGTGTCTTCATTTGAACTTTTTATGTAATTTTCTCCCCTTCTCTCTACCTTCATTTGGCAGAGGAAGGCGATTTATGGAGGCAAGGGTACACCTGGAGAAAGCAGGTTTGGGAGTGACAAAAGTGCCTGCTTCGGGCTTAATGTATCTGCCAAGAGTTTTCCTCCACGTGCACAAAGTTCACGGTGTGCCAGCTCTGTAACCCGGGGAGAGAACTCTTCCCGCAGCCTCAGCCTGTGGCGTCTGTGCTTGCCACAGAGGAAGAATATGATTCAGGGATCAGATTATGGAAAACTTCTTCCTCCAAAACATAGCCTCCTAGCACCTCGGTGTGCAGTTTCCCATCTTTGCTGGTTATGATTGGGGGGAAAAAATCACAAAACAAAGTACTAAGATCATTTGCTCCCCGGCCAGATAGCTCAGCGGATTAAAGCACCTGCTTAGGCAGACACAGGGGCTGGGGTCCAGGCCTGCCTAGGAGCTCGGGGGGGCGCACAGACAGCAACTGAGAATGGGCGTGGTGGGGAACGCCTGTGATCCCAGCGCTTGGGAGGCTGCAAAACAGGAGAATCACTACAAATCCGATCTGTGTAGTGAGACCCTGTAGACCCTGTACTAAATACATAATTTTTTTTTAATGTAAAATAAACCAGTTGTTCAAGCTAGGACAGACAGCTTTTTTTTAATGTACCCTGCTTTTGTAAGGGAGGCATAGATTAGTTTTAAAGATAATAGCAAGTGGTTCCAAATAGTACCTGACAATAAAAAGTAAATGGGTAACAACAGAGGAAAACCCATAGGACAGCTAGGGACAGAAAGTTGTTTCTGCTGTTTGTTTTTAGAAGTGGTATTTTGGTCTTTGTGTTTTTTTATTTTTGTGAGACAGGGTCTCACTATGCGGTTCAGGCTGGCCTTGAGCTCACTTTGTAGCCCATGCTGGTCTCAAACTCACAACGATCCAAGTGCTGGGATTACAGGCATGCACCAATGTGCTCAGCAGAAGTGTTTTGATATTGAGAATTATGGAATAAACTTCTGTTTTACAAATTGTCGAGGAAACAGCTGTAACATATGTACTGTTGTATGTTACCTGGTTGGTACTTTTTTTTGGTGGTACAGGTGATTGAACTCAGGACCTTGCACTTGCCAGGCAAGCACTTATTCTACTGAGCTACTATTTGTTTTTACTTTTCAAAATAAAATAAAATTTTTAAATAAGGATCAGAATTTTGGACAAGGAAGGCAGCATCAAGGGCAGTTCAGTGCATGGCCCCGAAGCACCCCGAGGGTAGAGGCAACGGTGCTGTCCTGTAGCGGAAGCTCAGAGTTTTCATCAGCAGTCCTCTGCTGAGCTCAGAATTTCAAAATAATATCAAGGCTAGCATTTTTAGTGTTTTTTGTGTTCTAGCTCATGCCATGTAAAGTTGTTCTGATTGATTTGAGCTCTTAGCTGCTGCTGCTGCTGCTGCTGCTGCCATCATTTCCTGATACTATGAGGTTGCTGTTCTAAACAGAACAGCCTCCATTCTAAGAAACCAAGTGATGCAAACTTGGACAAAGTGACCTACGAGCTTTGGCTTTTCTGAGGCTTGAAAGGTGTGGCGCGCAAGATTGTGGCTTCCTTGATTGACAAGCTCTTTAAGCATGGCTGGGAGCAGATGTTTCTGGCCCCATCTGGGGGAGCCTTGGTCCTGCTCTACAGTAATCCCAGGGAGCTGCGAGGCAGGCCGCTGAGCTTTCTTGCTGCGCACTTCTGGGTTCTTGGGGGGCAGACGAATGTTGGGGGAGCGAGAGGCTTGCTTGTGGGCCCGCACACTTGCTCTGGACACTGCGTGGCAGAAGTGTGCTCGCTGAGAGCCAGAGCTTAATCTAGAATGGGTGCCCACCAGGCCTTTGCCCCAGCGACGGAAAGAGTGGGGTTGCTGGCGTGAGGGCGGTTGGTGCTTCTTGGGGTGCTGATTGTGACCGAAAAGGAAGTATTCTCCTCCTTGAAAGGCTTGAGGGCTGAGAGGAGAAAAATGACTGCCCTTACACATACACAGAGAGAACTTTTGGGAACAAAGGGCTTGTCGCTGGGTTTGTCCTTTTGCCCCGTTTTTATGCTCTCACATTTTTGTGAATTTTTCTTGTTGGAACCATGTATTTTATTTAGGTAAACATTCTTGCCTGGTAGTTACTAAGTTGCAAATGGCCTTTTTACCTGGCTCCGGGAGGCCTTGTCTCATGGCCTGGGGTGAGAGGGGAGAGTGCCTGTTCGGGTGCTGCTAGCACATGCACTGGTCCCTGTCACAGTGACTGAGGGCCCTGAAGCCTGAACCTGGGACACTGGCCATAGCCACCACTCCACGACACAGAACCATGCAGGATGTGCGCTGGAGGGGAGAGATTATAAAGGAGTTTTCAAAGCTGCCGAGGCACGCGTGGCTCCTGTCTGCAGCCGTGAGAGTCTGTACTTAGCTGGAGATGTGTGTGGATGGGCCTGCCCCCTGGCAGCTTGCTCTGCCTCTGCTGCTCATGTGAGTGGGCTGGTGAAGGTTTGGATACTCCGCAAGATGATGCACTTTCAAACCTGGGGTGATAGGCATATTAGATTTGTAATTAATTTAATGGAAGTACATTTAAATATTTCCTCAGCATAGAAAAGTTTGTACATGTTTACATTTTTCATTCACCTTCTGTTCTAGACATACTCCATTTTATTTTTACCTTCCATTTAATTAAATAGACAGTGCTGCCATGTTTAAATTAAGAGAATGACCAAATCTTTATATTTCTAGGCAATGAAGGACCATTGTTGGTTGGTATTTTGCTGGGATTACCAGGAAGTAAACGTCCCCCAAATTGTACCACATGAAGTACTCTGCCCATTAGAGCTCTAAAGTAAGAATTCATAGTAAATCTCTTGTTGCTGACTTAATGTGTGACCGTGGCGCACGGTCTGTGTGGTACTGCTGGATGGCTGATCCCGTAATTTAAAACACTATATTAGCTCTCCACTTGCTCTGTGAGGGGATTTAATGGACATTAGGGTTCTTTTAGCCAGGCGAGTAATCTTGTAGTTGGAAGACACTTTCTCAAGAGAGCTCTCCCCAGTGCAGAAGGAAGCAGCCTGTTACTCAAAGTTAAGGACTGCGAAAGAAGTGTGCTACCCCTGCTGCCCCCCCCCCCAGGTGGAGATGAACTCCGGCCCCCTAGACGCAGGTGCCAGGGCCTCAGGCTGTGTTGTAGTCCTCAGGTGCCTTGGGAATGGAGGTAGCCTGCAGCCCTAACATTTGGACCAAAGGGAACACAGTTTACTGCCTGGTGAGGAGAGCATTGGTCCCTATGTGGTAAGATCATGCTTGGCCCTTTGCAGGTGTGTTGTTGGTTGGTGACAAGAAGGCCTGGACATGCCTGGCAGATGTGTGAAGTCAGGGAAAAACAGAATGTGCCTCGTGCACTTGGGTGCGGAGGGATGTGAGAAGAGCGGCTGATGGCAGCGGGGTGAGATGCCATGCCAGCCGCGCGGGCTGACTGGAAGCCGCCACCATCTAGACAGGCAGTGCCAGCTGACGCTCCCTCGTGTCAGTGATGAGGCCAGCCACTTGTTGCTTTGCTTCGCATTTGCAAAATGAACTTGGAGTTCAATCTGAGGCTAAGGTGAGAATTGGCTGCTCAGCTTGAACAGAAGCAGCGACTGGACTTACTGATGTGTAAGGTCTCTTAGTCGTGTACCTGAGACAGTGCAAGACGGGCGTGCGAATTCCTCTGAAATCTGCCCATAGAAAGTCGCTTTGCCTAAGCGTGTACTTGATTAATTCTGTCCATGGCATACTGCTCTGTTTTGTAAATACTCTCTCAGCTCAGTTTGGGTGCCAGCTGGAGGTCGTCATAGAGGACTCGTGTAGCCTGTACCCGTCTTCTTCCAGTGCCTCCTCCCCCACCCCACTGCGGCCCTCGTTCAGTTTTTGGACCTGCTAAAATGTGGAGGCACAGCTCTTCCTTTCCTGCTCTGTCCCGCTTCAGCTCTACCACCTTCTGTTTTTCCTCCTGCTTCTCTTAGAAACTGGCCATCTCAGTGGAGCCGCTTGTGGGGAGCCTCTTCCCAGACTCACCTTCAAGCCAGCTGGTAGAGTACACTTGCAGAATGCACTCAAGTCACGAGGGGTTAGGGGACTTGCTGGCTTTTGTCACCAGCTTCTGTGTCTTCTGGCCGTGCTGCAGGCACCTCTCCTTTGACATTAGCTTTGAGTTTAGCTAAATGTCGGTTGTCCCACAGCTGCTTACAGTCTCAGTTCTGGTGCCTTGTGCCCCACCCCCTCCCACAGAACTCTGAAACAGTATAAAGTAAAGAGGACTTTGGAGAACAAAGGGGAGCAGTGGTTAACAGCCCTGCCACCTCCTGTCTGTTCAAAGGAGAGGAAGTTGAGGTCTGGAGTCCACCAGCTCTCCGGGGCCAGCCCCTCAGCAGCCTCCTCTTCCCACTACCTGGAAACCTCCCCACTAGGTGGCCACTTCATATTCTCACTTCCTGCTTTGTTTTTGCTTGATGTAATTAGGGAAGAGAAAGCCCACAGGTGGCTGGCTCACTGTTGCTGACATGCACATCAAAAGTGACGGAGGACCACCGAGGTAGAGGCCTCCGTTCAGTGTAGGAATGGTGCAATAAGGAGCGAGTCCGGAGTCAGGCTCAGGGATGGCTCCTCAGGGCTGGGCTGGGTTCGGTGGTCTCAGTGCCCCAGATGCCTCCCACCTCATGCACGGACTCCAGCTCCCTCCAGAGGAAGGTGGAACAGGAGGGATTCACCCTTCGTGGTAATCACCTCTTTGTGCCAATGTCCACACACAGCTGTATTGGTGCCCAAGGTAGATGGAAAGAGCCTTTCTGTGGGTGCCTAGCTGAGAGTTCTCCGACTGTGACAGGAGAGATGGGATCCCGGAGCTCTAGTCACCAAGGTGGATACACAGGAACTAGATCTTGACTGCACAGATTCATTCCATCCATTCAGCAAATGTTTATGGACTATCTTCTTTGCACCTAGGCCCGAGAAAGTAGAGAGAAAACAGACACAGGCTCAGTCTGTAATATGTTTACTGTCGATGGAGAGAGACAGGCACTGACCACACAGACACAACTGTACCAAGGGCTGAGGACAGTGTGCTTTGCTCAGGTCTACAGGTCAGAAAAAGCCAGAGAAGTGACATTGGAGCTGGGTGCTGTGGGTGGAAGGGTGTTGCAGAGGGAAGAGTGAAGTAGAGCAAGGTGAAGCGGGAAGAGCCCGGGAGGTATTGGGGGAGGCTGGGAGTGGGTGGCCAGCCCTCCGGCTTGCTTGGGACTGCGAGGTGTGAGGGGTGAGACTCTCCGCGTGAAACTGAAGTGTCAGGTAGCTCAGAGCTGCTGGACACCCCCTTGGAGGCCACATGAGCAGCCACATTCCTTTCTTACTCATTTCAGAAAAGTTCCTTTTTAGGCTAGCATAGCTCCCACCATAGAAAAACAGTTGATGAGTAGAAGTAGCCCCTCACATGGCCAGAGGAAGAGATGCAGAACTGAAGCAACACTTACTCAGAGTTGCATTCCTTGACTTGATTTTTGATCTGGCTTGATTGTTCCTAATAACTATAGAAATTAACTGGCATCTGATGTGTTGAGGTAACAGAGTTGGCCAGGGACAGGTGAATTCCTTGCACCAGCAGCTTTCAATACACTGAATTCTCCTGGGGACATGAAAAAGAGGGCCCTGGGCCCAGCCTGGTAAATCCACAGGGGATCTATGTGATTGTCCCTTCCTAACAGTGCCATTGGCCATCAGTGTGCATGCAGATCGCTGGGGGATTCTGGCAGGGCACAGGCTCACCCTGTGGAACCCGAGAGCCTGCATTTCCTTGAGGCCCTGAGGCCCCGAGGCCCTGTTGTTATTACCTCTCCATGGACTGAGTAGCTGTGTTCTGTCTTGCTGGTGGGTTTGTGTTTGAAGCCACTGGCTGCTTTTCTGGGAGAGCACATCTCCAAGGCAACAGGCAGACCTACCATGAGAGGAGGAAGGGGAAAGACATGGACTAGGCTGGCAGGTGCCCGAGGTCACCCTGAATCCCTGCGGGGCAGGCCCAGGTGTCCCATGGGTGGGGTGGGGTTTCAGGGTGAGGCTTGGCTGAAGCTCAGACTGGCGCCAGTATTCCTGGCTACGGGAGAGGCAGCTCCCAGAGCTTTTGCTGGCCTGGTACGACAGATGACTGCTGGCCTTCTGTACCTATCGCGCACCTCATCAGGGGCCCTGATGTGGGTCTTTGCAACAAATACAGAAAGGTACGGAAAGATTTTTTTTTAAGTAAGCGATGACACATCCATCAACAACCAAAAGAAAAAACCCAACCCACACTGGCTACAGAGTGGAAACTAGAACTAGGGAAGGGAAGCCTATTAGAAGGATTAGTAACCAATGGCAACAGCACCCAAATGACTCTAAATAATGGGAAAATTATGTCACCATCGCAAAAGTGAAGAGTGGTTTGCCCCGGAGTATATCTTTAGTTAACATACTCATGAATTGTTTGCAGCAGAGTGGAAAAGCTTTAATGTTAAGGTCTGTATGAAATCATGCAGGGAACTTGCACACATGACCTAGTAGCCCTGGCTGCCCTTTGCACATGGTAAGGTAAAAGGTACACGTATGATTCAGAGGTTAAAGAAATCACTAATGTAGCAGCACAATGACAGATAAAATCTACAACCCTACTTGTGTGGTGAGGTGGGTTTGCGCATTGTACCTAAGCTGAACGCAGCACTCCAATGCTTTGCCTCCCTACTGAGGAGCAGGCTCAGGCTTCCTTCCCTCCAGGCGGGTGGGAGAAGACCGGAGGGATGAGCTGAGTAGGCCTAGGGTGTGCTGGACCTGCCAATCACGTGTCTTTCATCCTCAGGGGTTCGGAAGGGAGAGAGGCTGAGATTGGGAGACCCTGCCTGGCCACCAGGACAGTCCTGCCTGGAAATGAAAGGACAGTTGCCCTTCTCTCCCTTCAGCGTAGGTCTAAGGGGCTTCAAGTTGACAGCAGGCAAAGTATGAGTCGGTGGCTTCTTGGTGTTTGTTTGTAGCAGTGTGACAGCAATACAGGCCCAGGCTACAGTGACCTGAATGTGCCGTCTAGAACAGGGTTTGGCAAGCCACAGCCCAAGGGCCAAATCAGGGCTGCTGTTTGTTTTTCTATGCCCTGTGACCAAAGAATGCTTTTTGCAGATTTAAATAATTGGGGAGAAAATCTAAAGAATTCCATATTCTGACATGATACTAAATGAAATTCAAATTTCATTGTAAATGAAGTTTATTGGAGCACAGTTCTGTAGTATTTTGTCTTGGCTACCTTCCTGCTGTAGGGCAGAGTGGAGTGGTTGGGACAGAGACCAACCATATGGTCCCAGAGCCTAGACTCCTTAGCTCTGATCCTTCATAGAACACTTGCTGACTGCTGGTTTAGAACAAAGAACGGAGTCATTGTATTGAAACTTGGCCTGTTGCGGTTCGACCAGTGTATTGTGTTCCTGCCTGAGCCTTACTTTAAAAGTGGAATGAGTTCAGAGAAGAGCGTTCAGGCTGATGAGACCCCCAAACGACAGCATGTGGTTGAGAAAATGGGGTGTCTGATGTAGGAGAGAGAAGATGTGCCCTGGAGATGGAAGAAGTGGGTGTTGCTGATTGTTTTCATTCTTGAGAGAGAATCAGGAGAAGGCAGGAGTGAAGTTCGTGTGGAAGGCCTTGGCCTTCACTCAATGCCAACTTCTGCTCTTCACCCCAAAATGAAAGCATCCCTGTGACAGTTCATTAGACGCCTAGGTCTACTGCAAGTTAATGTAACATAGCATTCTCTCGGGCTTCCTGATGGGAAACTGTCTCTTCCTCTGCCAG